TTCGTTTACCAGGTGGTATCCAATGAATTACGTGTTTTGGAATTCTTTCATTGTGCATTCTCTGAACGTGGCCGTACCATATTAATTATTTTTGTTCTATATCATTTACTATTGTTCCCTCTAATCCCATCTGTCGTCGAATGTCTTCATTTCTGATCTTATCCCTCCGTGAAATTCTCATTGCTCTTCTAATCGCGTCCATTTCTGTTGTTTCTAACTTCCTTTTATTCCTTTTCAGTGAGTCGCCATGTCATCCATAGAGTAATATGCCTTTAACTAGTGTCTCTATATATTATATTTCCTGTTCTTTGTAATTTCAGTGCTCCATAGAATGCCATTTATGCATCTGATAACTCTTCGTGCCTGTATTACTCTGTTATTTATTTCTCTATCGTCCGTTCTATCTGCTGTAAATATCGAACCCAGGTACCTGTAATCTTCACATGCCCTAATTTCCATATTATTGTCCAAAATAAGATTCTCTCTATTGGCTCCAATTGGAAGGTATTTCGTTTTTTCTGTATTTACTGTGAGACCCCATTTAGTATATTCTTCAATTATTTTCCGCACCATATATTCCATGTCATCTTTGTCGTTTGCAATTATGGCCTGGTCGTCTGCAAATTGCAAGGTGTATAAGCATAATATGCCATTTAGTTCTATACCCATTCCGTTACATCTTCTTTTCCATAGATGCAAGGCCTTGGCAATATAAATTTTAAATAGTGTTGGGGATATAGAGCAACCCTGTCGGAGCCCTTTAGTGATAGCAATTTTCTCTGAGAGACCGTTAACCGTTTTTATTTGTGATTTTCCTCCATGGTAATGATTTTGTACAGCTTTTATCAGCGCTGCGTCAATTCTTGATTCGTGCAATACTTTCCATAATTTTATTATTGGCACTGTATCATATGCTTTTTGTAGATCGATGAATGTTATATGAACTTCCTGGTTCATTGCAGATTTCTTCTCGATGATCTGTTTCAATGCAAATATATTATCTGTACATGATCCTCCGCCTCCGAAACCATTCTGCTCTTCTTCTTCGTAGCTGGAGTATTCCTCTTCAATTAAGTTCCTCAGTATCCTTCCATAGAGCCGACTCATAGTGCTGGTGACCGAAATTCTCCGGTAGTTATTGGTATTGTTCCTTGAGCCCTTTTTATATATAGAGGAGATATATGCTTTTTTCCACTGTTCAGGTACTGGATGACCATTTAAGCATTGGTTAACTATGTTTCTTAACATTCTAAACAGTTTTTTGCTTCCAGATTTAATGAGTTCCGCATATACTCCCTCTGGGCCACATGCGCTTCCATTCTTTAAAGACATTATAGCCGTTTTTATTTTGTTGGTATCCACGTAGTATCCTCTCCTCCAATGTTTATTTTTGGCTGTGGCGGTTCTTGATACTCAGGTCTGTTCTCTGATAACAAGTTGGAATAATATTTCACCCATTCTTTGTTGGTTATTCTTTCTGTAGGGGTTGACTCCTGTTTTTCAGTTGTTGTTGATTTTATAAATCTCCATACTTCCGTATTCCTTCTTCCGCCCCTATACGTATTTATTTCTTTACATTTGTTATCCCACACTTTATTCTTTTCTTCTTTTACCATTCTCCTCACCTCATTTTTCTTGTCATTATAAGTGCGCTTGTTTAGTTCAGATTTCGAATTTAACCATTTCAAATACAGTATCTTTTTTTCCTCTACAAGTTTTTCAAGTTCATCAGTCCACCACAACTTTCTGTTCTTTCGTCTCGCTTTTATTCCTAATGCTTCCTCTGCGGCTCTATGAATACTGTCAATGATATTATTGTATGTTAGGCGAAAAGGCCTTTCCGAACCTTCTATAAGTTTTTCATCAAGCCTTTCTGATAAAGATATTTCACGCTGTCATGCGTTAGATTGGCTAAATTATATTTTACTGTGGTAACTGGCTTCGTTCTTCCTGTTTCCTCTTGATGATTGTTTTGTTTAATTTGATATGGTGGAAAGAGAATTTTTGATCTTAAAAGGTAATGATTTGAGTGGTGTCCGGCGCCCCTTAGGATTCTTACATCATTAATATTTATGTTGTTACTTTGCTTTGTAATTATATAATCTATTATTGATTTTAGGTCGCGTGTTGGTTGAATCCAAGTATATTTGTGAATCTGTTTATGCTTAAAGAAACCATTTTTTATTGTTAAGTTGATATACTCGCATTTTTCAATATGCCTATTACCGTTGTCAATGATATTTTCTTCTCCGTAAGGGCCTATGATTTTATTATTTTCTTTTCTTCCTGTTCGGCTATTAAAGTCACCCAGCAAAACTGAATCCCTCGTATTTCCAATGTCATTAATTATCTCATGGAGCTTAGTGAAAAACTGGTCCTTAATTACTAGAGTCTCGTAATCGGATACACACCTAATATTGTTAACATTTCTAAGCTTTAAATTTAATCTGATAATATTTTCATCTATACCTTCCCAATTTGTAATATTTTTCTTAAACTTGTTCTTTATAAGTACAGAAACACCTCTTTTAGCACGTTGATCTTTCGGCACTCCGCTATAATAATGAAGATAGTTTCCTAGTATTTCAGACCCACTACCTTTCTTTTTGGTTTCTGTTAATGTAATTATATCTAATTCTATTCTTTCTAAATCTTTGACTAGTCCTAAATCCATTGCATAGTCCTTTTCCGTTGCCGTTGTCGTTGTCGTTTTCCTTGTAATCCGTCCGTTACTCCGAGGCTTTCTTTAAGCTTTTTAGTATTTAAAACGGTTTTCCAAGGGTTGAAGTACTAGTCCAACGCCTTAACCCCTAACTTGGAGTAACGGGTAATTTTTATACAAGGTAGCAGCTTCGTTTGTACTCTAAACAGGGGTCCTTACAGGGTGCTATCATCCGGGCCAGATGAACCCTGTTTTTTTAACGAGGTTGTTACTCCCCTCACCCTATTGCAACCTGGCTTGGGACAGGCTTTGGCGGGTTTAAATAATATTTACCATGGGAGTTTGGTTAACATGGGAGTTTGGCTAGATAAAGACGCTCGGATGACCACCCATATTCGAAAACTTCAGGAAAAAACAGAAGCAATCATAAAGCAGTTATCCAGAGTTATGCCCAATCTGAAGGGACCGGTGGCAGAAAAGAGGAGGACATTGGCCTCGGTGGTGTCTTCCACGATTCAGTATGCGTCTCCCATATGGGAGAGAGTCCTAAAATACAAACTCTACGAAAATATCTTAGACTCCATAAATCGTAAAATAGCGCTGAGAGTAACATCGGCATATAGAACATCTCCAACTAAGGTCATTCTGGTCCTAGCCGGTATCCCACCGATAAAGCTAAAAAACAGAACAAGGAAGTCTAGTGTATAAACATGGAGACCAATTCAGATTTGAGGCCAGAAATATTATACTGGACAAATGGCAGGATGCGTGGTCGCAATATCAAGGATGGGCTAAAACGTTTATTTTAGATGTAAGGTTCTGGGTAAACTGCAAGGCAATTAATATAGACCATTTTGTGACACAAGCCATTACCGGACACGGGGTTTTTGGCACCTACCTAAAAAAGAATGGCAAAGGGCAGCGACACTTGCACTTACTGTAATACTGTCGACAGCCCGGGTCATACAATATTTCTCTGCCCTAGGTGGCAAACAATAAGGGAAGAAACAGAAGAAATATGCGAAAGGAAGCTGGAGGAAAACACAGTTGGTATCACCATTAGTGAGGATGAAGAAAAGTGCCGAGCCATTATATCAATGCTGCATACCATAATGAAACATAAAGTAGACGATGAGATTAAAGCCAAAAATTCGTGATACTGTGATATTATTGTCTGTGATAAAGAACTAAACTGTGATAAAAAACTTACTGTGACTTGATTAAAATAATAAGGAAGATTTATGTATATATATATATACATATATGGAAATGAATGTTAGAATAGTTTAGAGAATATGAGATAACTGAGAATCACCTACTATCCCGATGTCATGCTTCACGGCAGTTCCAGGATAGTTAGGGTTATGTAGCAAAGATGGGTTTTTAGTGGGTAGGCCCTCCCTCTGGGTAGAGTAGGGAGGGAGATCCCCACACTCCGGCCGTTTCCCATCTTAGGCGTTTCCCATCTATATAAAAAAAAAAAATATTTACCGACTATAAACCATTAGATGTCGGACTAAAAAATCAAATCGTGTTTTTATGCAACTTCAGATAAATATGGCTTCTGCTCAATATGATAAAAAACGGCGTCGGCGATAGTTATGAGATCAAGATCGCTGTCATTTTATATGTAAAATTATATGGGGAATGTCATCGATGTTCATTTCCAAGTTAACTGGACGCCATTTTTTTTCGATCATGTTGTATTATATACTGTTTATTATATCATTATTAAATCGGAATTACAATATGCTCTGAAATGAGTAAATTGGTATTAAGTAGTCTTAATAAATAGTATATACGAATTGGATTGATAATTTAATATTATTGGTAAAAAAATCAATCCAATTACGCTATTACAATTTTTTCTGGTCCCCCCGAAGTAATTGTTCAACCAAATTATTGCCGGTAATGCCAGTTACGATTCTTCTTTTTATGAAACGTAAATTGTGCATGTGGTTCGTTCAAATGAACGAATCAGAGGAGTCGATTCAGTATGAAAAATTGAATCGTGTGATTCGATTCACTAAAAAGAATCGTTATGCCCATCACTAGTAATAACGTATCCTTTTTTACAGAACAAAGGTCTCGATAAATAGCTGCCCATGCCCATACAGTTGCCTTGAGGCCGGGCCTTTCCGTGTATGGGCAGCTAATATCTTCTAAAATTAAGTATTCAGTGACAGATAGCTGAGTGTTATAAATTCTACACCAGCCTCCACTCTAATTTTACTCCATTTAACTCCAGACCATAGTTTTAACTACACTACTTACTACTTACTTTTAACTATACTACTTACCGGTTACTGCACTATTATAGCTTGTTTTGATTTTTCAGGAAAACTATCTCGCGAATAGTATTTGTAAGGATTGTTCCGAATTTATGAAGTCTATCTATTCGACGAAGGAATCATTTATAATAAAAACAGAAACACAAAACGAGGACAAAAAACATATAATCAGTTTATGCAAGAGATGCGGAACCAACAAACCAATGGAAGAATTACATATTAACAAGGGTTTCTTAAATGATATAATCAGTTATATTTTTGGAAACATTTCATTGAATTCGGTAGGTATTTATACAAAATGATAAGAGGGCATCCGTAAATTACGCGAGGTGTTTTTGGGGATATTTTGACTGCTCTTCTCTAACTGGTGAGATGTTGTGAGATTTACCTCGACCTTCTCCTTATCACGTGAGATCTTTCAAAATTTGCATTTTGTGTTGTGAGTGTAAATGTGTTGGATTTATTTAAAAAACATAATTTGGTTGTTATTACTAGTAACCAGTTAGTTATTACTAGTAACCAGTATTTGAGATTTTTTTAGATTGTAATCTAAAATTTCAGTGATAATATTAAATAATGAGAACTACCAAAATTAATAGGGAGCATTCATTCTAATTCAGTCATGGACACTAGTGCACGATCTCAAGGTACTAACTTAACAACAATACAACTCTCTCTTGGTACCAACAATTCAAAATTTTAAGAAACTTCAGAAATTCTGGTCGAGAATTCTTGTGTCTCGAGAAATAAAAAGGTCTTGAAACCTGAAACCCTATACTCATGGGACAGAAGCTTATAAAATACCTACCAATGACTAAAGAATACAAGGACTAATAACACTCGAGACCAAATTATTACAAATAAAATCAGAAGAGACCGCTTCGATTAATTCTAGTTTTCTTCTCGACTGGAAACTCAGTTACCAGTAGCGGCTAGACAGCTAAAATTTAATTCATAAATATATTTCGAGATTTTTAATTTTTTCCTCCCATTATAAGCTTAAAGCTACCTAAAATTCGAAATTTGATGCTTTTGACACATCTAGAAGTACTTGATAAAGATAAAAGAAAATAATCTACTATTATTTAGAATTTTGATGATCTGTCAGTGAGTCAATGTCGAAATTAAAGAAATTTGACAAGCGATAATTCATAAACTCTGAGGTATATTTACTAGATATTTTGGTAACCTAGCCAGCTATAGTATGTCTTCATGTTTAGTAAAAATTAATATTCTTGCTTTATCCACAAGGGTGGTTACAGGGTGGTTAAAAGTGCCGCTAATACCTTCGAGAAAAGGATGGAGCGGCTGTGCTCGACTTGGCGGGGCACTGCCGATGCCGTGCCCCCAGATTACAGCTTTATAATTTTTTTAGTCATCTGATGGAAGAGATTAATTTCTCGAGAACCCGAGGCGTTGAGATTTTGTTTCCCATCTCAGCTAAAGACAAATTTCTCGAAAATTTCCCAACAGAAACCCTACTTTCTATCCTGGAATATAATAGATCCTCGAATAATATATTAATATACTCGAATAAATAGAGTATCCAATGGGTCAATAAATTGTTTATTCATACAAATTTGTTAAACCAAACAAAATTACTTAGGATGTAAAAAATATTTAATTAGCTTCTCTTTACCCTCAACTGGCATGGTGAATTCTTGTACCGCTTATGGCTTAACCATTGTAATTTTTTTTTTCAGTAAAAAATACATGATGAAGAGAACACAAAAATAAAGAAAAACGAATTTTTTAGGAACAGAAATATAACTTAAGCTAAGAAACCCATAGAAATTAAAAACATACATATTTTATGATTTTACTGTATTATTAAAAGTACAAACAACTGAAATGTGAAGCTAAATTAATAAACATAAATTATTTTCAACAAAACTGCAAACCTTGAATGTATATAACTTTTTCAAATACAATTCATGGTAATATAAGATCTGCATTTGCCGCACATGGATCGTGCACATTTGATTTATGAGATTTTTGTTTTTCGTCATTTCTTCGTTGATATATGGTTGACATATATATACCACATCTCTTTCTTTTCTGGTATTGATTATTCAATTTTCTCTCTTCTATAAGTAAGAGATTCAGAATCGGAGTTATGATTACTCTTCGGAGAAAAATCAATGTCTCAATGATCTTCATCTCACTTAAGCCTCTTTAAGTTCATCAAACCACCCAATTTATGCTTCCTCAAAATTAGCGTCCCAGTGAGGCACACTTTTTAGACTACCCACCATTCTAATATTGAAACATTCTTGGTGTGGTGGTGCCACACAGACCCCAATGAAAATTTAGCCCCCGCTGCGCTGGTAAGAATAATTCTTGATAAAATCAAGTGCGCATTTTACAGTTAATATATTGGTTAATATTGGTACCCAGAATGTAGAATGTTTAGGAGGGGAGTTAATCACCGCGACCTTACAGATCTATTGTGTGTTCCCCTTTCTTGAGTTATAACGAGTTATAACTCATCATACAGTCTCAGGGCTTTAACAAAAGCCAGTATCTGAGACGGCTCCACAGAGGCCAGCTCTCCATCTTCGACATCAGCCTTACCAAAGTTCATGGCACGAATGGTCGTCGTCTCGGCGCACTCAGTGATAAGGTGTTCTGGTGTTTCCCCATTTTCCCAACAGAATCTGCATTCGCTGTTGTTTCTCAGCTTCAGCCTACTGATGTTAGTTTCAGCCTGCTGAGGTGTTCGTTGAGGAGACAGTGTTCTGTTAGAAACCCCGTGACAATCCGAAGATAAATCAAGGAAAACCTTTGATTTTTCTCGGTCGTAAGTTCTGAGGAACTTTTTCGAGTGCCTTAGACCGTTGGAGGACACCCATTCCAAGTTACAGATGGAGTCTTCCAGATTTTCAGTTCCGCTTTCAGTTGATTCCCGTTTGGAAAACAGAACGGTTCTGGTCCAGTTAGTGGAGTGTTCGCTCCTTTCCTAGCTAGATCATTTGCTTTTTCATTGCCTTCTATCCCTTGGTGAATAGGCACACAGAGTAGGAGGACTTTATTTTCTTTGCCTAATTTGTTGAGCTTCTCTAGGCATTCTTTGACCAACTTCGAATTGATGGTTACTGAGTTGATCGCGTTTAGTGCTGCTTGACTATCGGATAGGATGGCAATTTCCTGTTTTCGATAGTTCCTATCTAAGATAAATTGTACGCATCTTTCGATAGCGTACAAATTATTGATTATTAATTATTAATCATTTAATCATCATTTTTTATTACTAATTATTGATTGGTACCCTAACTTAAAGGTAAAGGGCGCGGCGCGGCGTGGCCTAATTCTTAAACGTAAACATTTTACAGAGGTTAACAGTGCTTGGAGTCCGCTAGACCTCCCCAAGCCAGTTGAGGGTTTACTACCATTTATGAATAAGTTCGGGTAATCGAGTCACTTGATATAACTTATTTTTCCATATTTGTAGATTGCTATACCCACAGAGTCAATAGTTTGTAGCGAATGCTGGTATTTGGTGAAGATATTATATAGTTTTAAAACGTTTTGTAACAGCTTCGAAATGTTTCTAGAACAGTACCAGTCTACAGTAAATTTGCCTACTAATATACACGAAGAGTGGAAGAAATTTATGCAATATATTCAAAAAATCGATAAAATAGGTATATTTTTATATTATACAGGTTGTTTCTGTTTTGATTACGATTTTTCTTAGATAAACGCCATGAAAAATGTTTACACCTCTGTGGCGGATTCATCCCTTCAAAAAAGCACTATGTACAGGGTGTCCCACTTAAGATGGATACAAGCCAATATCTTGATTGTTTGTTGAGCGATCTTTTTTATTTTTGGCAGGAGGCTGTATGGCTATAAGTCGTACATTTTGCCCAGGGTAAGAAATGCGATACCTCATAGACGAACGTTTTAATGGGGTTTGATATTTTTCGAGTCAAGAGTAAACTACCCTTAGGACAGTATTTATTTCAAATCTGATAAATTATATTGAATCCTCCTTACCTAAGATACTTAAGTTCTAATTTTGATAAATATTGATACAGGGTTCGTCATTAAAATAAGACATTTTTATTTTTATTATTATTTTTTTAACTACTTACGACGCTACTGGATAAAAAAAGAAAGCTCAACAAACAGCCAAGATATTGGCTTGTATCTATATTAAGTGGGACACCCTGTATATAAAAATTATAATGAAAGAAGCGATAGCCTCTAAAAGAAAAAAAGAGGAATTTTTTAATACATTCTAATAAAAATAAATGTATTGCTCATGCATCTGTAGTTAGAGGTTAGTAATGTATGGGAATAGCTTCTTTGATTTTAAAGAACATAACATAGGTAAAAATTAAAAATAATCATACAGAAAGTTTGAAGCTTTTTGGTTTTGCCTTATTAAGTAATTGTTATCTCTGTTGTTATCAGGTAGTAATTGTTAATTTTGGAGTTTAACTTGATATATAATGTCACTTTAACAGAACGTCAACGGTTTTTATAAACGTATCTGTTTAAAAAAACTAAAGTGTTCTCGAATAGATATTATGCATTTAGATATTTTAAATAGTTTTTTTCTTTGTCTTTTGTGTTTTTTTTGCTTCCGACTTCAGACGACGGGAAGAGATATACTTCCCGAATCGTTCAGCATTTTTTTGTTCGTTATGTAAATTTGTTTATTAGTAAACCACTGACGACAAATTGGTCTCCGTTGGGTTAACGCAGCGGAGTTTACAAAAAATACTTATTTTATTTTGTAGATTTTCTTACAGTGCACAGTGGTTCCCAGGTAGGTCATTACTTAGAAATATTAATTTCAAAATGTTTGCATGAAACTGTTGCTAATACTTTTCTTATATTCCCCTATAAACGATACATAATAAATAACAAAATCAAGTAAGCCTAGTGTAGCGCTTTTTTTATTAGAAATGTCACATTTTTGCTACTGGTATCAAGCTGACATAAACAGTTTTCAGATAGCGTCAATTAATTACTTATTTTATTAAAATTGATAAAAGATGTTGCCTTTTCTGTAATGGACGTTCGAAACGAAGGTAAAAAGAACTGTTTTTTCTTTTTTGCACTTAATTAAACCTAAGTAATATTAGTTTATGGCAATTTATTTGAAGGCAACAAAAATAGTATTTTTACATTTTTGCTTATCACTCTTTAAGACTTTTAACTACTTTCCCTTTCAAATCCTCTTAAACGGCATGATAATACTTGTTGCTTAAAGAATATTGCATATAAATTAATTGCCACTGGCTGCCGCGAATTGCCGCCGGATCTTATACCGGGTGGTTAAAAATTGACTTTTTGTCTTAAAATAAAAGTAACTTATTTTTTTGTCTTCGTGTCAACTTATTTCGTGGACACACTGTATATCAATTGACAATAAAATTGTATTTATAAAATGAAACAACTGTCTCTTTTATTTTTTCAACATTTAAAATAAATTTGACCTCTTCAATATGAAAAAACATGTACCTACATATGTGCAAACATAATCTGTATACCTTTCCGAATAGTTAGAACTTAAAATGCAAATCACACGAACTGGGCCCAATTTTTTTAATACATATTACATTAAGTTTTTTATATACATTTATTTAGCATTTGTTATCAATTTCTATTAAAAAAGGTGCAGTCAAGCTATATCTAGATATCTAAGAGTTATGACCGCGCAGCTAATTAAGAGGAACCACTGTGCAATGGCGAAATACCCATGGGCACTTTTTTGAAGAGATGAAGGCCATATAGTTAATTTTTGAAATTTATGTTTTATTTATATTTTAGGAGATAATAGGACAACCTTTAAATTCCTTAAAAAGAAATGTATGTTTAATAATTCACAACCTGTAGCTAATCATGGAGTACAAGAAAGAGAAATAAGTTCTACTGGCAAAGATAACATATCCGATCCTGATATGGATACGGATGATGTACAAATTGTATCACATGAGCCTCAAAGTGTTAATGTGCAGAATATTATCGATTTAACATGCGATGATATGTTTTTTAATACATTTCGATCCAGTGATAGTACTAGTAACAGAAATGAGGAAGAATCCATTATAGTAGAAGACGATGAAGATGTCTACATTGTTGACGATATCGAAAGTGAAAGCACTGAATTGCGACAGGAAGATGATAATAACCTTCTAGAAAATGTATATACTGAGGAAGTTACCCATTTAAATACAGATGATAATGAAAATTATGTGATTCCTTCAAAAACTTCTGAAAAAAAGATAGTACAAATGAAGGAAAGGAAATTAAATGATACGCGTAGGTATGTACTCTCTAGGTGGGTTAATAGTATAGTATTTTTAAGCTACTCGATATTCTATATAGTCTTTTTAGTGCTGTTCACAGTACTCAAAGAAACAGTATTCATAGTGTAAAACACTCTATACACTATGCGTAAAATAGGTTAAAGTAGGTCAAGGTTGAAGAGTAAAGACGGTTATTCCGTGTAACAATACGGAATTGTAATACGGATAAATTAACCCTCAACTGGCGTGGGTGAATTATTGTAACGTTTATGGCGTGCTTTTACTTGCTTACTCTTTGGCTTTGGCACAAGCAATAAGAGCATAATTTGGCATAAGAGCATTTATAAATACGGTTGGCTTTGGCTTTGGCGCCCGGTTGCCGTCGGACTTGAATTAGACAGTTAAAGCAAGGCACAATACGTATACGTATCTCTCGACAAGTAACGCAGAAACCTACGTTACGTCTGCCGTTGCGTTGTCGTGTAAACAAGAGTTAAAGCAAGTATTTTGACGTACGTAACGCAAATGGTACATTTGTAATTCTAAATTATTTTGTGAAACAATTTATTTAATTTTAAAACTTAAAATGGATGTCTATTATTTCATTCATTCCACATTAAATTTATAAAAGTTGGAAAAATGAAGAAACTTATAAATGGAAATTATTTTATTACAGAAAGTAGTCCTTACAACTTAAAATGCTCTTAGTAATAAAAAACAGACACAGTTTTATGATTATTTATTAGATTCCATCTTTTAGAATCCTCATATGGATTTTGGCTAAGAACTAACATTTAATTAAATAGATCCCAAAATGAGTTTATTATGATGCTTAATATTTTCATACTAATTTATTGTAATAAAATAGGCCCAGTTTTGTTACACTGGCCCCAAAATTTATGAAATATCTTAATTACTAGCCAGTTGTGGAAACGAGTTGTTTGTGAATTTGTACGTTCGGCATCATTCGGGTGAAAATCGAAACTCCTTCGGCTCGATACGTTTGCGTTTTGTACGTACGTAAAGGCACGTAAAGATACGTATCACGTATCCGTAAACGCAAGTGAATTTCTCACTGCGCAAGCGTACATGTCAAACGATACGTTTACGTCTACGTCTTTGGCCGTGCTTTAACTGTCTATTATGTTTAACTTTTTACCGTTCGAAGCTGTTCGCCGTCCGTAGCACCACGTAGCAAATGACGTTACAGCCAATAGAATAGTAAAGAGCGATCACGTGTTGCTTTGTTTACATCTAGTTTTGAAGTATGGGAATTCCAAATTTATGGTCACTCCCAATAACCCTAATAGGGTAATTTCATCAAGACCATTACTTTTCAAATCCATAATTAAAAATCTCGAACTAAAAACCAAAACTTTAAACACTTTCGTCTCTAAAAACGCACTATAGACTCTGCTACTCTCAAGTAAAAAGTAAACAAAAATGTAAGGTTAGATCTGCCCAAAACGGCCAAAGCCAGCTGTCAACCGTCGAGTTTATAAATGCGATTTTGCGGCGCTACGAACAGTCGACGGCAAATCCAAAGCCAATGCCAAATCAAAAGCCAACTGTAGAGTTTATAAATCGACCTTTATAAAAAGTTTGTTATTTTAACACTGTTTACAATATAATCAAACTTGTGAACAAACAATTTCATTAATTTTCAACAAATTAATAAGAACGGATACAAAAATAAAGTAAAACGCATAGAAAAAGAAACCCATAGAAATTAAAAACATATATATTTTATGATTTTACCGTATTATTAAAAGTACAAACAACTGAAATGTAAAGCTAAAGTAATAAACATAAATTGTTTTAAACAAAACTGTAAACCTTGAATGTACATAACTTTTTCAAATATACTTTATGCTAATATAGGATCTGCATTTGCCGCACATGGATCGTGCACATTTGATTCATGAGATTTTTGTTTTTTGTCATTTTTTCATTGACATATGGTTGCCATATACCACATCTCTTTCTTTTCTGGTATTGATAATTCAATTTTCTCTCTTCTATAAGTACGAGATTCAGAATCGGAGTTATGGTTACTCTTCGGAGAAAAATCAATGTCTCGATGATTTTCATCTCATTTAAGCCTCTTTAAGTTCATCAAACCACTCAGTTAATACTTCCTCAAAATTAGCGTCCCAGTGAGGCACACTTTTTAGAATACCCACCATCCTAATAATGAAACATTCTTTGTGTGGTGGTGCCACAGAGACCCCAATGAACCTTTAGCCCCCGCTGGTAGGAGCAATACTTGATAAAATCAAGTGCGCCTTTAACAATTGCATATTGGTACCCTAACTTAAAGGTAAATGGAGCGGCGAGGCCTAATTCTTAAACGTATACATTTTACAGAGGTTTAAATAGTGCTTGGCAGGGACGCGCTAAGTATTTTCGGCGCCGTCGCACAGTGCTTCGAACATGTGGCTCTAGAGGACAAAAATCCAAAACTTCTCTTTTAATGTAAGCAATTTATTCAAACTAGGTTTATTTGACACAAATGATGAGTACTCTCATTGTACTAAATGATGATGTTCTTAGTCCCACGTTTATGAAAAAAAAATCTTATAAATAATAATAATATTGGAGCTGTGTTACATCTAAGCAAATAATAAGTTATAGTATGAAAACGGTGTAAGTATTAAATAAATTCCTGAAAAAAAAGAATTGAAATAACATTTGAACATGATTCCTACAATATAAGCCTAATATAAGATAAAAATGTTTTTCTTTAATGAAAAAGAAACATTAATGTTATATTTAATTAAAAAAAAAAACTTAAGATATTATAAATTTACTTTAGGACAACAAAATGCATAGATCGTAACTACTCTGATTCAGGAGAATCACTGCTGACAGAATCTTCCAAATTTATAGTATCCAAATCACAGGTAGATGAAGTATCCTCACATAAGATATTTCTGTACATCATTTTCTAATATGTTACTTTTTCGCGTTGTTACTGTTCATTTTGCCGGTATGAGGGGTTCGGATGTTAATAGTTACCTCTTTAATAGACCATATCCATATATTATTTTTTCCTTTTCTTGGGTATGAGATTTTATAATAAATTGAAAGATGGACACTTTTTTTATGCGACGTTTCGCTCCAACATAGTGGACTTTTTCAGGCACAAGTGGTGTCTCATTTGACTGGAAGGTTCATCAGTATCTAATAAGAACATATTTTTTGAAATACAAATAATTTTGAGTTCTTGTCCTTATGATCAAGCCAAGTATTAGCCAGATAGGCATTGCTTATCAATTTTACTCCATCTGAAAAGTATTATAAAATAAAGTTCGTCGCAAGCAGACGCAAATATTCAATAAATACGATATGTTTTGATATGCTTTTTTTAAATGCCTTTTTGAAGTACGTAAAATTTTTATACCCATTTAAGAATCATCTTAAAAAATAAATAAAAACTAAACAATCACGAACTTGTTTAGAAATATATTTAAAGCACATACCTTGTTTAACAATATCCATACTGGCTTTCAATTAAGTACGTACCCGTTTAACTCCATAATATACTATACATATCGTACTATGAATGTTATTCTTTTCACTGATGAGATAATGATCGCAAAATTTATTTTTAGTGAAAATATTTGCTAACAAAAACGCTGTTTATGAAAAATAATATACAGGATGGTTGAACATTGCTATAAGTATAAAATTATATATTCAGATATTAGTAAATTTTAACTTATTTTTTGATTTTTGTCCATGGGAAGAAGCACTGTGGCGTCGTGGGAAATAAGGGTAGGCGCCTTTCTCCAATATTATAATATTAAGCCAAAATTTCCAATGACCAGCGGCGCGGCGCTCTACATTGGTGGATAATATATTTTCACCACTAGCGTTCATAGATAAAAGTATTACTTAAATTTTATGTTAATTTGTTGATAAGTTCCAAAAAATGGTTTTATTATTTTTTAAAGTCAGGTGACCGCAGGCGCCTTTAGGGCTTGGGCGCCGTCGTGCGCCGCAGGACCTCGCCCATATGGCCGGCGCGTCCCTGGTGCTTGGGGTCCCCTGGACCCCACCACGCCAGTTGAGGGTTAAATACAGAAACCGAACAATAAAAAACAAACAACCAATCATGATTTGTCTCGGGTGATTACGCTCTGTTTTGATGTTTGCGGCCGAAATTAGCCAAGATTCCCCGCAGCATAAGAAAATTATTGAGATGTTCGTAGAAACCACTGAAACCAAACCAAACCAAACATTTCAGGAATAGTGCAGAGGCCGTTTAACAGTATAACATTATCTACCTACTACCTACAGGGTGTTTCAAAAAAAAATGCCATTTGTCGTGGGGAGATTTCTCACGTAAAAATAATATTTATTTTTCATATCAATATAGATTCAATTCTGCTTTGTTTCGTAGCTACAGTGTGTTAAATTTTTAATAATCGTTTGATTTATTATAATTTTCTTTTAAATATTTTTAGTGATTCAAATGAAATTTTTAGGGTAAAAGTTACTGTAATTGCTACATATTTTAATGCTAAAAAAGTGTCGATAAATTATCTCATTGGAATATTTTTCAAAAAAAACATGTGCGCCACTGACTTTTTTCTTTTGATAATCAAAATTGTATAGGCGGTTTAATGCCAATTAAGAGTTATCTCTTGATATTTTGTTGAATTCGGCCTCCTTGAAAAAAAATATATATTTTACCTAACTTATTATTAAATATTATTACCTACTATTAGTTATTATTACAATTAGTTTAACCTACCTCAATTTCAAATGAAAAAATAATGGTATTTAAGATAATTACAAAAAACCTAATTTTAAAATATTCTAACATCCTGTAACTCTAAAACTATGCATTTCCATACCCATGTTTATAGGAACTTTTTTTTCATATTTTTCGATGGGGAATGAATGAGTAGGTACTTATTTAAAACTTCCGCAAGTTAATGATATTATTTTTTTTAAAGGTTGCTATTAGACTTGGATCAAGGCAAATTAATAAAATGCGTTTATCTCATCAAGAGACAACTTTTCTTCTTCTATAGTGCGAATCCATTAATGGATGTTTGCGATAACATTTTCCATCGCTTCTCTATTCCTGGCGGTGTTTATTAACGACTGTACATCGTGTAGGCCTGTCCACTGTCTAACATTCCTCAGCCAGGACATTTTCTTCCTTCCGATACCCCTCCGGCCTTCGATCTTGCCTTCGATTAACAGATGCAAGAATTGATATTTGGTGTTTCGCATTATGTGCCCCAGGTATGCAGTTTTTTTCTTCTTAACCAATTCAAACAATTCGCGCTGTTTGTTGACACGTCTCAGAACTTCCTCATTTGTTAACCTAGGCCGTCCAAGGTATCTTCAGAATTTTGCGATATAGCCACATCTCGAAAGCCTCTAATTTATTAATGGCAGCTGCTTTCAATGGCAACCTTCCATACCATAAAGGAGCACCGACCACACGTAACACTTTACGAATCTTAATCTGAGGTTAAGGTCAAAATCAGAACAAACAAGTACTTTTCGGAACCTCAAGAATGCCTGCCGAGCTTGTTCGATGCGACATTTGATTTCCTTGTCTGATGTCCAATCTTCGGAGAGATAGACTTTTAATCGGCATTAAACTTATTACACTATTTCGCTAACAAGAGAGAAAAAGACCAGTGGCGTATATGCTTTTTTTAGAAAAATATTCCAGTGATAACCCAATTGCACGTCTCTGGTGAATATGTCGACACTTTTTTGGCTTTAAAATATGTATGTCGCATTTATAGTACCTTCAACATTTCATTCGAAACGTTAAAAGTACTTGGAAGAAAATTATAATAAATCGAAAAAATATAAAGACTCTAACATCCTGTAGCTACGAAACAAAACAGAATTGGACCTCTGTTAATATGAAAAATAAATCTTATTTTTACGTGAGGAATCTCCCCACGAGAGATGGCACATGTTTTTTGAAACACCCTGTATATCCAATTAGATTCGAAATTAGAAAATTAATTTGAAATTATTATTTTGATTTTTTTGAACATTATGTAATTATTTTATCTTTTCTTGTATTGAGTTTTAGCAAAGTTTACAGTATATGTTCTGTAAACTTTGCTTTTAGTCTAATAACGTTTTGCGAATTTATACAAAATTGAATTAAATATGAAATCTTAATTCTAATGCGAGATTTTTTAAACAATTTTTTGTAATTTTCAGAAAGGATTATGAAGCTTGGGGTTGTTATAAATGTGTCGCAACCAACAACCAAAAAAAGGCTATGAGATTCCATCAGTTAAGTCATGAGGAACCTCTGAATCAGTCTGGTAAATTTGCTTGTAAAGAATGCCCCTTTAGGACGCACGTAAAAAGGTATACTATATATACCGTTGATTGAAGAAATAAGACGATGCGCAACCCTATGAGCGATTTCGTGGCACAAAACATGTCCGAGATGTAGGTGGCGATACCGTCGTTGCTAGTTAACCTGTCCGAGATTTAGTTTAGCTCTGCGCCGCTGCGCGCTAATAGGTAGTCGTTTACAGCGCAGCGGATAGAGAATACTGTACCGTAGTTCTGCTTTCAGTCGACAGAGTGAGTGGTTGCCGGAGACAGTGTTGCCAGCACTGCGAATTAATCCGTAGATTTACGGATTTTGGGTACAGTACGTTAATAATACGGATTGTTTATCCTTAAACAATTTAATATAACATTATATCATTAAACAAAGAAAGGCGTCACAGTTCGCTTGGAAATAAAGGTCACTGTCATTTCATATATAAAATATTATGGTAAATGTCAATAGTGGTCAGTTCCAAGCCAACTAAACGACTCTTTTCGATCAAACGAAATATTCAGTACCTAAACAGAATTTTTATTTTTGTGGTTTATTCTATGTTTATCACGAATACAATTTCAATACATAAACGCGGATTTTTCATCTAAAGATATTTTCATCAAACGTACTACATACAGTGACGGCTCGTGGTTATTATTGTAGGGAGGTCAATATCTAAAAATATTGCGTCGATTTTTTTTAAGACGCCACTAAATTTAGTTGGTTTCTTACAAGGTACTTGTACGTTTAGTTAAAGGGAAATAAATCTAAAAATAAACACAAATTATGTTAAAATAAAACCTACCCTTACATTTTTAAACAGGTGGTCTAGTGCCATTTCACTATAATTCAGTCAATGTTCTTTACACAAATTTTCCACGGTAGGATTTAAAAGACACTTTAATAATAATGTTACAAAAAAAACATTTTTTTTTGAGGAGAGGAAAAATCTTTTAAAGACATCTATCGGATGTTGATGACAGATAGTGTGGGATTTCCACCCACTAAAAAACCTCATCCTTTTCTTCACTACATGTTGGAACTACCGGTAAGTATTACTTCAGCATGCAGCTTTGTCTTCTATTTAATAAATAAAAAAAAATTAAAATATAAAAAAACATAAATATATACACATAAACCTTTTTAAAAGTTTTATTTCTCATTTTTTTATATTTCAAGTCAATTCTTTCTCTAAACGTTTTTTAAAATTTAATCAATTGTTTTCTTTTAACCGCACGATTTTACAAACTAAACACCATATGTTGTTTATTTGAAAATATCTATTCCAGAATCAGTCAACAAGAGTTCATCATTTATCCAGAACCAGAAAATTATGAATTATTACCTACACTTTCGCGCTTCATCTTAAACCCTCGGCTACGACAAAGCTACGGCAACTAAAACTTTTTTTTTTCGAAAATTTAAATATTGATTTATATTGACTAAACCAAACATCTTTGAATAAGAAGACTAAGGAAGGAGAATAATGCTATCCATGTATTCATGCATGGTGGGCGGAAAAAGCTCTCTAGGGTGGGGATCCTTGACAGTTCTGTTTGACGATTCATTTGACACATTTGAATTTGATTTGAAATTTTGTGGATTTGTCAGTCTTTACGGAGCTTATTTTATGATAATTATTATTTATTCTACTACTGATAGTTGTATAAAGGTAGTAAATCTAGATGGAAATTGTGGCAGAACTTAAATTAACAGTGACATTATCGCGATTTATCGAAAAAGACTCTAAAATAGTTGGTTGTGTAGCGTGCGGTAGATCTCGGCAAAAATTGAGTGAAATAATGGAACAACTTTTCGCTAGTAAGTGACTATATAATATACATACGTGTAGTAAACCGATCATTTATGATTTCAATTCACTTAAATTAACTAAATTATATATTTTTCTTGCATTTTAGCTTTTATTTATTACTTGTCAAAGATTAGATGTCAAAGAATTTAGATACGTTAATTTGACTTACCTGCTTCAGTAGCGTATCGGATGTTTGTGGTAATAAATACTTATTATAACTTATCTATTTTTATTAGAATTATATATTTTTATAACAATTTTAATAACTACCAACATTTATTCACAACGTAAAATAAAACAACAAATTATTGAGTCTACCCCACGTCTACCCTACATCATAGTTTTACATTTTTTAAATAAAATTAGAACGACACTGATAAACCGGAATTTAAATCGGCCATATTTGAGGCCCATCGCGGTGTACCTAAGATTTTTGATATGCTCCTTCCTTAGTCTTCTTATTCAAAGGGTAAGAGTTTGACAAAAATCTTACCTTACTTACTTATAGTCGAGTTCATACGCATCGGCGTCCGTTTGTTGCTCTTCGTTCTGTCAAACCAATAATATTGAAATATGTTCTGTGATTTTTGAAATAAACCAATAAAACTGGTTAAGAACAACAAGAGACGACGCATGACGGATTTATAATTAAACCCATCCATAGTTAACTTAAAAAATATTAGAAACATATATAATCTTTGAATAAGAAGACTAAGGAAGGAGCATAATGCTATCCATGTATTCATGCATGGTGGGCGGAAAAGGCACCATAAAAGCTCTCTAGGGTGGGGATCCTTGACAGTTCTGTTTGACGATTCATTTGACACACTTGAATTTGATATGAAATTTTGTGGATTTGTCAGTCTTTATGGAGCTTATTTTATGTTAGTTATTATTTATTCTACTACTGATAGTTGTATAAAGGTAGTAAATCTAGATGGAAATTGTGGCAGAACTTAAATTAACAGTGACATTATCACGATTTATCGAAAAAGACTCTAAAATAGTTGGTTGTGTAGCGTGCGATAGATCTCGGCAAAAATTGAGTGAAATAATGGAACAACTTTTCGCTAGTAAGTGACTATATAATATACATACGTGTAGTAAACCGATCATTTATGAAATTCACTTAAATTAACTAAATTATATATTTTCTTGCATTTTAGCTTCTATTTACTACTTGTCAAAGATCAGATGTCAAAGAATTTTGATACGTTAATTTGACTTACCTGCTTCAGTAGCGTATCGGATGTTTGTGTTAATAAATACTTATTATAACTTATCTATTTTTATTAGAATTATATATTTTTATAACAATTTTAATAACTACCAACATTTATTCACAGTGTAAAATAAAATAACAAATTATTGAGTCTGCCCCACGTCTACCCTACATCATAGTTTTACATTTTATAAATAAAATTAGAACGGCACTGATAAACCGGAATTTAAGTCGGCCATATTTGAGGCCTATCGCGGTGCACCTAAGATTTTTGATATGCTCCTTCCTTAGTCTTTTTATTCAAAGCCAAACATTATACGCAATACGCGATAAACAATACAAAAATCTAGGTTGTTTTATAATTTGAGCTTTTATAAACACCCAAACTGCCCTAACGGAGAAATTTTTCCAGCGGTAGTGTGCGAACACAGTGCAAGCAGGTTTGCCGCTTTCTGGTAGCCAGCGCCAATCTGGGCACCTATTCTTGACATCGTTCGCAACTTTGCGTATACGCATCACGTGTATTGTTATAAACAGGGTATCCCAGAAATAAGTGCAAGTATTTTAAAGGGTGGTAGATCTCGATAAAAGAAACATATTTTCTCTTTATCGTTTTTCAAATAAGTCCAAAATACTGGAGTTATTTTACTTTGAAAATTTCAAAAAAAAATATTTTTGCTAAAATTTTGAGAACCTTCTTCTTCATGTGCCTTCTCCTCATCGGAGGTTGGCAACCATCAATTGGAATTCCTCCCTGTCTTGAGCCAAACGGATAATTGCACTGGCCTCTCCTATATTAAACCACTGGCGCAAATTCCGCAACCAGGAAAACCGTTTACGCCCGATGCCTCGTCGTCCTTCAATCTTTCCCTCAACGATCAGCTGTAGGAAACTATATTTGTTATTTCGAAAAATATGACCAAAATATGCTGCTTTCCGTCGTTTTATTACAGTCAATAGTTCTTAGTCCTTACACATTCTTTCCAATACTTCGAGATTTGTTTGAGAACCACTGGATCTTTTCTGGATTTTCTTTCTTGTAAATTTAATCTACTACCTATGTTGCCATATTATCAAGAAACTATTTTTTTTAAATAAAAACTAAAAAAAAATGTAAAAAAATTCCAAAAATATTTTCAAAAAATTCCGAATTTTCAAAAAAAAATTATTTAGAAAAAAACCTCATAGGCGTGTTTCTGGGGTTGAACTATACTACCAGTTAAGTTAAAATACTTGCACTTATTTCTGGGACACCCTGTATGTGGTTAAATAGTAACGCCGCGCCGCGCCGCCTCGCGCTTATAACCTTGAAAAATTAAAGCGTGTTATCAAATCGGCTAGTTCACAGTGAAAGCAGGCAGGCACCGTCAACCAGCGTTCATCGGCGTTCTCGCTTTTACCGGAACGAAAATTTATTTATTTCTGCTTTTGCACGCGCCGACGGCGCACAGGGGGTATTAAGAACTAAAAGTTGGCCAAAATTATGTTTTATGATTTTTTTGCTTTTTTGCTAGTAATATTAATTATTAATTAGAGGAGAAGTTGCTAATATGGAACCCCATTTTGTTTTTCCTACACAATATTTTTTCCTCTACTTTGAAACCGTTTCCACCGATCAAATAGGGCCATTCTGTGCAAAACGAAGAATCTATTTAAATCAATGTTTTTTTTGGCAGTGGCAAATATTGGCAAGATTTTTGTGCATATTCCAATGCTGGAGACTTTAAGCATTGAACGGATACTAATTTCCATGCGGAATATTGCCGAATAGTCTTACACCTTATAAAAATGCCACTGATTTTTTAAATATAAAACATTATAAAAAAATAGAATAGAAGGAAATGTTTCGAAATAAAAATATGGTATAAAACAGAACAGAGCCAACAAACAAAGCTGGCTCTGTATCCATCATGACAGTTATTATGAACAATTTGCAAAAAAAGCACTACAAACAATTCCACTATTTTTATAATCTTAGAAATATTCAGAATACACTCAAG